CTGCACTGACCAGCCTGCTGCTCTCCAGCTGCCACAATCACAGCTGCTGGGCTGTGGCTGCTGCCAAGAATCCCAAATCCATCCTGAAGAAGCATGCTGCTACCCGGGGCCAGCTTCTTGGGTGGGATTCCAGAAATGCAAACCAAACAAAAACAAAACAAAACAAAACAAAACACAAGCTGGAAAGATGCCTCAGATTCTTGAGGAAGAATTTTTTACATTATTCCATCTCAGAGTGTAGAGTGCTCCTATGAGATTTGAGTGGGTGACCCAAGGCCTCCAGCAACGCGCAGGAGGAGGAGACACTCTGTCTTCAAGGAAGACACCCACCTCTCCTGTTCACTTAGTTATAAAACAGCAGCCACTCCACTCAAGCACACAAAAGGCCAGCCATGCCATGGAGGTGGAGTGTCTGCAAAATAGCCACTCTTGAGTGCCAGATGCTGCGAGCATCAGCAGCGATCTGTTATTCTTACGAGCAGCAACAGGGCTCCCAACAGGCCCAGAACAACAAAATTAATGGATTGGAAAGTAGAAATCTAATGTACAAGCTCTCAAAATTCCCCAGCCTAGCTGACTCACCGTGCACATTCAGTAAGTCACAGCTCTGGGAGGGAGGTGGGCGGGACTCCTTGGGGTGGGGAGAGGACCCGGCAGCCAGCTGAAAGAGACTGCAGGTCAACCCACATCAGCGCCTCCAAAGAAGCAAAAATACCATTTTCATGCAGAGCTTCTCTGAACTTCAGTAAAACAAATAGTATTTACACAAACAAAAAATAAACTCTATAATGAGAGCAAAGAAGCAGCATTCTCTCCAGTTCACTCGCTTGACGGTTAAATCATTTTTTATTGAATTCAGGTTTCATGGCCCATTAGAGGCCTGGAGGGAGAATTCTCAGGGATGCTTTTGGACTAATGAGTGTTTTGCAAATTGTTTTTTTTTTTAAACAGATTTGTTGTTCTTTTTTCTTGAAGATAGTAAGAATCTCTGGTTCATAAAATTTAGCCCTACATTTATTTGAAAAATAACAGCAACTGAAATTTCTTTAAATTGAAACTAATTTATTCTTATTAGTAAGAGATGTTGGTGTTTTCTATCTTCCTGTTATATTTTTGACACTAACACAAATATGCTTCAAATGCCTCCAATCCTTGTCTCAAATACTCTCTGACAAATGTTCTCTCACCTGCTCCATTAAGATATATCCTTTCATCCTTTCATGCACCCAGCAACCCAAAGAAGGTAGAACCTACAGAGTAGCCATGCCATCTACTAACTCCACTCTCCAGACCTGCCCTTCTAGGAGGAATAGCCCAGCATCCCCTGGAAGCCCTGTTCTTTGCCAGCTGGGACAGACACCCACATGCCAGACCACGCCTAGACCCAGGCTCCTCCATCCTTTTCTTGTCCACAGCCACCAGAAGCGCAGCTAAAGAGGTAACTCATGCTTCCTATTGGGCAATCAGGCTAGTGTGATAGGCTGGAAAAGCCATCTTGCTGGCCTCCTGGAAAGAGCCTGTCTTATCTAGAAAAAGAGATGCACTTAAATTTCACTTCCAGATTTTTCCATCGTAGGATTCAACAATTGTCTGATTTTCTCATTAGTCTGAAGTGGGCTTGTCACTTTCAGTAAAGGAGCCCATGGTGCCTGCAGCTGGAAATTAACCCATCAGGAACTGTTTAGTGAGGCCTTTCCACAGGCTCAGCTCTATTCTATGTTCTGGGAATAGACTTGACTCTAATCAAGCTATATGTTCCTATGCAGAGAAAGACAAATTAACAAATAAACATAAATTAAAGCAAGTGAAACTAAGTGCTGTGGGGAAAACCAAAATATCATAATGGGTAAAAGGGGCACAGAAGGAAGCCAGTAATCCTCGCTTCTAAATTCCCCAGCAGTACCGGAGAAGTCCAGGAACTTGTCAGAGAAAACATGATGTGAGGTTGGGTAGGGTTGGAAGATCGGTAGGAGAAAAGAGAAAAAAGAAAAAGGAAAGCTCGGAAAAGGCCTTGTAAATCATGTGAAATACTTTGGATTCTGTCTTCAGGCACTGGGCTCAGTCAGAAGTGGGGAGAAACGTCACTGGGGCAGCTGGAGGGCGTGGGTGTTGCAATGGACCGAGAGCAGAAGAGGGCAAGCCAGGGGCCGCTGCTGTGGCCATGTCCCTGGGGACGTGGCCGTGTGCTTGCTGAGGGAGGCAGGGGCCTCCTCAAAAGGCGACATTTCATCAAAAGGCCCTGATGGACGACTCAGTGTGGAGTGGAGAGAGAAGCAGACGAGGAAGACACCCATGTTTTCTATTGCACAACCGATGGCCAGTGGAGAACTCTCCCTGAAAAGGTCACAGGGTGAAAAAGGTTTCTAGGAGGCTATCAAAGATTCAAATTAGATAATCTTAAATTTTAAATAAATGGAACGACCCAAGGAAATTGCCCAGGATGTAGTTGAATGCCCAAATCTATGGTTCAGGAGTGAAGAAGGGTTCTCAGAATCCTGTTTCCAACAATATCACCCGGGTCCACTCCACTCCAGCCAAAAGGAGAACCCACCACCCCCTCCTTCCTCTGGACACTCGGGGTACTGCCACTGTCACCTGGCTTCAACCCGCCAGTGCCCGCCCCACCTCACCTCCCCTTGTAACCTGAGTCTCCAGCCACCCTGCCATGCCAGCCTCATCCCATGCTGCTGACCATGTCCCCAAAGCTGAGCCATCTCCCACCCTCCCCAGTTCCCACCGCACTCGCTGCAGCCTCTAACCAGTATTCATCCAAACACTCAAGCTCTATCTCCAGCTCTATTCTCTTTCTATTTCCTTCTCTTTTTTTTATTTCTCCAACAGTTCTTTGTTGGGACTTACAGTCACAACCACATTGAACTTCTTGCTGTTCCACAAATAAGCCAAGGACATTCCAGCCTTTTGGTGGGTTCATTTGCTGCTCCTCCAGCCCGACACCCCTCCTATATATCTACATGTCTCTCTCACTTCCTTCTAGTCTTTTTTCAAATGTCATCTTTTTAAAAAGGCTTTCCCTGATGATGCAGGAGAAAGTAACACTTCACCCCGGTCCTTCCTGTCTCTTATTTTATTGTCCAGACATCTTTGCTGTACACCAGATGTCTGCTATGGGTCTCTTTGTGCTTTGTGACCACTCCTTTCTCACACGTCCCTGAGTACTGCACTGGTCAGACTTTCTGGGTCCACAGGGGTCCTAGTGAAATGTCCAGCTCCTCCTAGGAGTGCTGCATTATGCTGGGGCTCCAAATGTTGGGGTTCTAAGAACTGCAACTGTAACCTCTGCTGAAGCAGTTGACTTGGGTAGGAAACTTGCCTACTCCTACTATAGGGATTTGGAAAATGAAGAAGTTGCACCCAAGTCCTTTACTGGGTCTGGGGTCTCTTAACTTAGATATCAGTCTTCAAATGGGCCTGGATTTATAAAAATCTAAGAGGACCATAATCCTTGTATGCTCTTCACTAGACCCCAATATTTTGTATACTGGGGAGAGAAACAGGAATCTCACTCCTGTCCCTCTGACTCCTCTCCGTCTCCTCGCAGCTGGTCTCTACCCTGGAGAAAAGCAGTACTGGTGCCCCCCGCTCAGATTCCCACTACCCCACCCCAGTTTCCCCCTTGAGAGGAGAGGTTGCCAGGGTGACAGTCTGCCTAGGCATCGACTCCTGTTCTCAGAGTCCTCTGCAGGGAGAGACACCCAGAGCACCAGCTTCTTCGTGCATTTCAGCATATAGCTTGTTCCCTTTTAAAGTTAAGTTGCTCCTGCTATAAAAATGATTAGTTAAATGTGTGTAGGCAGCACAAAACAGAGGGGTCCATGAGCATGGACAGCTGGAAATGGTTTTCACAAATTATTTCCATTAATGTTGAAAATAAATTCCCAGGACCCTACATCTTTGGTGTTCAGAGTTGCCTTAGAAATGAGAAGCAGCATTAACTGTTTCTTCAGATTCCCATGCTGCCTCAGAGCCACACCACCCACAAGAGGTCCCTGTAACTCAAAAGAAGCTCACCCTGGGAGGCTCAGGGCACCTGCAGCAAGAGCTTAATCATGGTCTCCTTCAAAGCTTGGGCTGTTACACCTAAAAGTCTCCATCAAAGTGATGGAGACACGATAGGCTACAGAGGAACCTGCCCCCTGCCTCGCTGCATCTCTCCCCCTAGGTTAGGCATCGCTTCTGAAAAGAACAACAACTCAGCCCAGGACTGGTCCCTCTTGGACCAACTCCAGTTCAACACACAGCCCACACAGTACAAGGCACTCAAGATTAAGAAATGATGGTGATTGTCTATTAATTGGCCTTTGTGCTAAGTCAACAGTGAACTGTTGGTGAGCCTACTGTGAGGAAATTGTACTTATTTTTACTCAAGGGCAAAATAGCCCTTTTCATCCTTATGCAGGAAAAAATAAAAGAAATGAGAAATATTTCAAATGAGTCAGTGGGAATAAAAGAATTAAGAGGTACAGATAGGGGGTAAATGTTTTGCATCTGATTTAAATGTGATCTCTTATTACAGACTATTTTAATTATGAATTATTATTCCAGTTATTACCAGAAAAATGGTTGTCAGTTGCTAAATTACCATGTTTCAGTCATTCCACTAAGAAGAAATTATTTGAGCCAGCAACACTTGAGCTAATTTTGCCTTTGACTGTCCCTTGGCTTTGCTGCTACTCACAGCAGAGGCATCAGGCATAACACCATTTGCTGCAATGATCTGGGATCTCCCTCCAGGGAACCGATGTGTTCCTTCCCAGAGCAGTAGATGCAAAATTCTGTGGACAGTCTTGTCGACAGAGTCTTAACTATAAATGTGAAGCAGAATGCAGACCCCTCCTCATTTGCAGGAGGAGAGCATGCCTTTTCATTCCAAGAGAGGACTGCTTAGACAATGCATTACCCCATGTGCTTTTAGGAAAAGCACCACAGGCATATGACACTATCCCCACCCGACCTCCACCTCACCGTCCTCCCCTGGTCTCCACTGGATTGTGTCTGGAATACTGAAGAGGAGAGAGAAGTCCTGCTGCTCTGATGAGGATCCTAGAGTTAAGAGGAAGATGGGGTTTACCTGGGAAGTTTCTGACTCTGGAACAGTGAAATGTTCTCTGGCCCAAAAAGGTGGAGAAAGTTCAAGGAGGAAAATGAAATAGGAAGTGCACTCTCCAGGGTTAGGTAAAGGTAGGTTCAACTCTGATCTGTGGGGAGAGACACAACCTCTTGAAGCCCCAGCTGCTCCCAGGGAACATGGGTTACTAATACCTACTTCAAGTATTTGTCCTGAAACTTCCGGGAACCATGTACTTGCAGTGACCATGCACCTTTCTCTACATGAAATAATAGAGAGCCAAACAGAAAAATAAGCCAACGCTGCAACACAGTGAATTACGGGTCTATCCCAGAGCAAGGCTCCTTTCAAGGCTAATCCGATATGCTCTCCGCCTCTTTCCCAGCAACTCAAATGTCACATTTCAGCTGTGGGAACCCATAAAGCTCTCTCCTCATGACCGGCAACAGACAGACAGAGGAAGCAGTGTGGTTTTAGTCACACTTTGAATAAGTGTTGGAAAATAAGCAACACCCAAAGAACAATGGATATTCATAGGAAAGTGAACAGAAACTACAAGAGAGCCCAGATTGTAAAGGGTTTTGCATATCTTACTGAAAAATAATAATTTATTTCTGCAGACAAAGGGAGGTCACTGCAGCTTTTTAACTAATGAACCTTCTTTTCAACAGCTGCACCCTGAATCTGCTATCGAGAGTCTTAGAAGAAAAACTAGCTTGAAAGAAAGACCCTATCAGCAGCTTCACTCCTCATTAAAATTCTCTGACTGCTCCTTCTCAAGCAAGACCTCAAATTACTGATTTTTGCTCTATCCTCTCTGATTTGCAGAGAGCTGCCCTTTTGAGATCCACAAATGCACAACTGTCATGTTGCCATTAAGTCTCCCAAAATATTGATTTCAAATGTGAATTACCATCCTCACCAATTACCTTCAAAAGAAGTGCATCAGAAAAAAACAAAAATATGTCCCACCCTTCCCTCTGGATCCAAAGCCATTTGTAAATTCAACCTTAGCTTTGGAGCTGCTGTATTTCAACCCAAACTGTAGGGGAAACAGAGACCTGCCATATGCAAGGAACAATAGGGTACAGACTCGCAGGGCTGCCCATCTCACGGAAAGGGTTCTCCTGATCCCAGTTCACTAGAATCTTTAGGATCTATGTCTGTAGTGTAGCTTCTCCCACCCCACACTGTGTGTGTGTGTGGTATGTGTGTTTTCTTGTCCAACTTGGCACCAACTCCTGGGGTCAAATAATCCCTGTCTCAGCCTCCACAGAATCTGGGACTACAGCTCTCCTACCTACCCTCCTGCTATCTTTTCATTCCCTGGAATCTGAACGAGTGAGTCCAAGAACTTTTGAGAAACCATTGTGAGAAAAGTGCCCAACCCTCCCTAGGAAGGTCTGGCATTGAAGGCAGCCTTGTCACTATCCAGTGGGCATGAGAACAACGCCTAGTGGAGAAAAGGAAGCTAACATATGGGAAAAGGGACCAGCTCTCAACGACACTCCCTTGAACTAGCTGTGCCTGGAGCTGATCAGATTTATTTCTTGAATTTTCTATTTGCTTTAGCTCCTAATGGTCTCTAAAAGAGCAATAATCACATTTTTAAATGGTACTGTACAATCAAATTTCAATTATTTCCACTAAGCTGTTTTCTTTCAAATTTTTTTAATAATTTATATTAAATTTGATGTGTCAAAATATTCTCATTTTTTAATTAAGTAATTTCATTGGTACATTGAAGGTATACAATATAATGACATTCATCAGTGGAAGTTTGCACCTTTACATAATCCATCTTGGTTCTTATTTTTTCCCATTCCCCTGCCCTCCCTTCAACCCCTCCACCCTTCCCTATCTACAGACTTTGTTTTCATTTTTTCTTTTGTTCAGGTTAACTCCATTCCTGTCTTTCTTTTCCCCTACCCCTCCCATTTCCCCTTCCTCTTTGCAACTTTTCTTCTTATAAAAATATTCTCATTTTAACTGTGGCACTTACCACATTTCAGTTGGCCAAGAGTCGCCAGTGGCTGCTGCATTGGAAAGTGTAGCTCTAGGTCATGAACTAAATAATTTATTTTCTTAAAAAATAATCTCCATTTGATTCTAACCCATAGTCGAGGCTGAGAAATTTCTGCTGCTTGAGGTAAAGAAGTAGAAGGCACTTTCAGGGTTCATCTAGTGCCCATGATATTTGGAGAACCTCCTACGTGATTTTTTGTAGGTTCCTTGTGAGGATGGAAGATTGTGCAGAAGGGGCCCTCCAGGAGGCTTTGTTAAGAAACGCTCTCTACAGACGTAAGGGAATATTGTGAGAGTAGTGCCTCAGAGGAAGAACAGGGTTCCACCAAAAACAAGATGAAAAACACTGAAGATCACAGGTTAACCAGGCACAGATACAACGCAAAGCCACAGACAAGTTCAGAGGGGCCGGAGAAGCAGGAGACCATCATCCCTAGGATCTGGCATCCTGTCAGCCAAGACTAGAGTCCTGGCTTCTTCAGGAAGCAGAAAGAGCAATGAGGGCTGTAGATCAAGGAAACCTCACTCTGCTTGGTTCTTCCAGAATTTCCTTCCACCATCGGCGCCTAGGGACAGTACTGGGGAAGCTCTTCAGGTTCTCGCTCTCACCTTGTGGTTGCCTTGCTGCAGCTTCTGTGTCAGACCAGGAGGACTTGAGAGTAAGACTCTGTCTTGCAAACCACTCAGTCACCGCCAATGCCTGGCACCACGGAGCTGACACAACCATATCATTTGCATATGCGATTACACCTACAAAGTACAAAGATCAGAAGCTATGCGAGTGCTTCAATTCCAAGAAAACCTATTATAGTAAAAGACATATTGCCAGGAACAGTGAGGTAAGTGTGCTCAAAGTAAGGGGGACTACTTTGGGGTTTTTAGTATTTGAGAACTAATGGCAAGTGTCTTTTACTGATAATTTTTTTAAATTTAAACATTCACCATATTTTTTATTACATTGCATACATAGTATAATGTCATTTTCAAAGTATATTCCCTCGCCAGGGAATCTTGTCTAACAGATTTTTCTCTCTTCACAGAAACAACAGGTTAGATGGCTAAGTGACCACTCCAGGGCTTGCCTAGGTCAGCTGAGTCTGACTGCAATGTCTGCCGTCCACCACGCTGGCTCCTCCTTTCCCTCCTGGCCCACTTTGACCCAGCTAAGCAAGGCCAGGAGGCTTCTGGGGCCAGTAAGCAGTAAGTAAACTTCAGCAGACTAGATGTCACTTGCTCCAAAAGGCCATAGATACCTCTGCAGTTCTCTCTATTGCAACCTAGCCACTTCCTCTTATGCCTTTTTCCAATTTCAAATAATCTACTTACTAGTACGTTTGCATATATCGGTCTCTTCCACATTAGACTGTATGTGTTATAAAAGTAGAGACTGCATGTTTCTTTCTTTTAATCACTAAACAAGCAGCACCTGAGTAAATGCTCAACCACTGAAAACTCAGATAAATAAATGGATAAAGGAATGGAGATGGAGCCAGTGATCTTGGTCTTGACATCTCAAGGTTCCCTTGAGCAGCACACATCCAAATAGATATGTTCCAGTGGTGAGATTCGGGCCTATGCATAGAAGAGCAAATCTGATGACCACACCATCCCCACCCTTATCTTGGCACCTCTCCAGCAGATTTTCCCGGAGCCTAACTCACCCGGATGTCTACATCTTCCCACACAATGGTTCTCGTGGCTGCCTGTGGTACACCATTTCTTTATGGCTGATTAGATAGACATATACAGGGGGAGCGCCCACTTTTTTTGTTCAGTTCACACCCTTCTCTGGCTCTTGGTGTAATCTGCAATGCATGTGCTTGGCATATATAAGTGTTATTTGATAATCTGCCTACAAAGAAGGCTGTACAGGAATCCTGAGCCACAGAAGAGGGTACAGGTTTTGATCCACTCATTACAGAGGGTGAAATGAAAAGATAAAACAATGAAAAGAAACTATGAGGCAGAGTAACTGACCAACAGAGGGGTTATGACCAACAGGCAGAGCATACATCTTACTGCTGCCTGCTGTTGCTCTCAAATGAAAATACAGTGCTGCCCCTTTTTTATTAAAACCCCCCCACACACACACAAGGGGACCCATGGCCCACAGCAGAAGATCTCAGCTGTTTTTGAGATGCCCCTGTATGCTGCAACTACCTATGAGGAAGGTAGAAAGCAATTCATTATTAATGGAAATTAAACTTTAGAAAAGTAAAAGAAGTTTGCGTATGATGCCATGATTCTCTCTTGCTCTGTATTCCTGAGTTGGAGAGAGAGCAAGGAAATGCCCTGGTATCAAGGTGCTATGTCAGACCCCAGTATGACAAGGGCAAGTCTGGTGCATGTGAGCATGGCTATCATGGTGTGAATCCAAGACTCCTGACCAAAAAAGATGGATCTCTGAGTCCTCAGAAAGGACACAAGATTCTGGACTCCAACACCTACACTCTTACAAATCCTCTGCAGTCCTCCTCAGCTCTCAGCAGAAAGTCCACACCTTTCTAGTCTCTTTCACCCTTTGTTCTCATTGTCTCTAGTATCTAGAAATCCCTGTTCCCCTCTTTTGTCTGACTATACTTCAAGACTCCATCTTGGAACCTTCTAGAATGCTGGCATCACTGTCTCCCGTCTCCCTTGGTCCTCACAATCTGTGTTATTTGCCATCATGTTTGCCCACTCATCCCAGTCTCTTCTGTGGGTTCATCCTTCTCCACCCACCCCCTGCCAATTTTCAAGGGCCCTGGAGCTCACTCTTGACTGGTATTCTCCATCTATTCTCCTTAGATGTTCCTAGTTAATTTCACACCTTATATCGTCACAAGTCCCAATGTAAATCCCTAGAGTCAACTTTCTCTGGAACTCTTTTGCCAAATATGGCAGCAACAGGTGGTTAATGAGCCTTGGAAATGCTGAATGGAGATGAACTGGAAGTGGGAAACACACACCAGTGTTTGAACAGCATCGAAAGGTATAAAATATCCCACTAGCTCTTTTATACTGATTGTATGCTAAGACTATATTTTAGATATATAACACATTTAGATATATAGTCTTAGTTCCTTTTCGTGTTGCTGAGACAAAATTCCTGACACTCCAAGTTAAAGGAGAAAAGGTTTATTTAGCTCACAGTTTATAGAGGTTTCAGTTCATAGTCAGCAGAGAGGCACTGCAGAGGAGAAACAGGCAAGCAGAAGGCAGCACACTACAAGTGACAAACAACAACCCACTTTCTATCCCTTATAGCTTTCCAGGCTACTCTCCCTTGGAGCAGGTTGCACTCAACACCCCGGATGGGCCACCCTCCATCCTACCTAGAACTATGGCAAACCAGTCAGTGGACTGATTTAGTAATCACACACCCTTGATTCAGCTACCTCCACAAAGCCCCACTTGTGACTGCATGAGGCTTTGGGGGACATCCAGACACAAGCCATAACATATATGCTAATGTTATATGTTTTCTTTTTATCCTTTTAAGTGGCTTCTTGGGATCTTAAGAGTCACACATGTGGCTTACATTTGTTACACTGTATTTCCACGAGGTAGGGCTGATACAGAAAACCACTCTTGTCTCCTCCGTCTGCCCAGCACCCCCATTCAAATGTCCAGAACAAACCTCATTTTCAATGGGATCAGGCAGAATTCTTAACTGTCACCCCACCATACCCCATGTATGCTTTTCCTCCCTTAGTTTTCTACTTCTCAATAAACAGCACTACAGTTGCTTGATTACAAGTCCGATAATTAAATCCTTGCCTCTTCTCTCATCTTCACCCCCTCTCTCCAATTCATTTGTAAATCCTACTGGTTCTTCCTGCAGAACGTTTCCAGTCTAGGCAGTTGTCTCTCATCCCTCTAATCCCAAGCATCACTGTCTGTCCACTGGGCATGGCAGGAGCCAACAGGCTGGTCTCTTGCTTCCACCTCCCACCGTCCACCCAGTAGCAGAGCGGTATTTTTCCACACTAGTTAGGCCAACTCTGACAAACACCTCAGTAACTCCCACTGTACTTAAAACCCAAGTCCTGACCGCAGCTTAGAAGACCACACAAGATTCGGCGGGCTGCCCCTACACCGTCTTTGACGTTCATGTCTTACACTTCCATCCCCCACCTTTTGCGTTTCTCACTCACACACTTCAAGTTCATCCTGCCCCGTGGCTTTCATGCTTAGCATCCCCACTGCTGCAATCACATTCATCTCCTCTCTTCAGTGTGATGTGACGCGTCATTCACATGGCGGCTTCCCCACCCTCTCCGCCCCAGCCCTCCATTGTCACCATCCGAGTCCATGTCACTCTGTGAAGTTCTGTTGTCATTACAAAGCTTAATACACAGTCACTGAGGGCAGTTGCCCAGTATACTTTTTACCCCAGGGTTCCCCGTCATCCCAGGTGATGTCAGCCCCCAGGCGGACCCCATGGAAGGATCTTAGTTCAGTTTCTTGACCTTCTTACGTACAGCAACCTTTTCCTCCCCTCCATTCCATGCTCACCACTGTCTCGAGTTGTCTTGTTTCTGTCCTGTGCTCTACCTCCCCTCTGGAAGGAAAATGCCCCGACTGTTGAGGCCCTGTCTGTCACATCTGCTCTAGTAGTTCCAGACTCCGGGGCCATTTTGACCACAGGAAGCTCTCGTGAATGTTTGTTGAATGAATAAATGCACACAGAAATGCCAGGCCTCCACCTTTCAATCCCCTAAACACTTATGATTGTCTCTGTCCTGGTAATTTCCACTGTGAAGCTCTTTACTAATCTAAAACCCAGCTAAGCAAAGAGCTCACAGAAGGAAGCTTTTTATTACTTATTTTATCTCTCAGTATCTACTACAGGGAGAGGCACACAAATGGTGCTTGGTGAGTTCATTTTGAACCCACTCTCTGAAGTTATTTACTGGAAGATCTTAACAACCACGTTTCTCAGAAATTGTTATTACAAGAAGCAAGTTATTGGGCTTGTCACAAAAGTTGAGGTTGATACTGCTCTGGGACTCCTGGATGGATGGCTTCCTGCATGATATGCTCCGCGTGCATGCAGAGGCAGGAAAAGTTGGATCTGAAGAAAAAAGACAGAGGTGTGAGGACAAAAGCTCTATATACTTCTATATACTTTTCCTTCCCGGATTTACCTCATTTGAGGTCCAGAAGCATTCTTGCCCTTGGAGTTCAAGAAGAAACTCTGTTCTCTCATAATAAATTCTCCTCTCCTGTCCTTATCAGAGCCAGGGGATGTTTGCTAATTGGTGCAGGTGCCCAGCGGGAAGGCAACCCAGGCAACCCTTGCTCCCTCTGCTGGTTGGGGGGATCTCAAGTTTATAAAATACAGTGCTTCTGCAGGAGGAGCTCAGCCTGGAAAATGAAAATTAACCCTCTTTGCAAAAATACTAGGTCCCTCCTTGAAAGTAGAATAGACGTTTACCTCTCTTTTGATTGCCCAGTTCTCTGACCCAAGCAAGGGCCCCTGGGGCTTGGGGAACTGATGTGAAAAGTGCACATACAGTTTAGTTTAGGCAGTAAGCAACTTTTGAAAAACTATGTAAATCACATTTTTTAAAAATCCAGCTCCTTTTCCCCACTGACTGTGGCTATCTGCTCAAAGATGCTTTCTCTTCCATTCTGATTTATCTCCAACTGGCAGCAGCAAACTATAACCCTAGCTTCACGTTTCTCTCCTACCCAAACGGCTCATCAATCAATCAGCAGAGTTTCCATTCAGAGCCCATTATGTGTAAGACATTGTTCACAATCTGGAAAGAGAAAAGGGAAGACACTGAATGCGCCAGGGGATGCTGCTATCTGTGGATCCTCTATAAAACCATGTGAATAGGCACCCTCTTATTTATCTCTTCTGTAAATTCAGATTTTCTTCTATCAGGTTTTCTCAAAGAGGTACCCATGTGTACTGAGCAGCCTATCTAGGTTACCATAGAAATGGAGAGGCATAAAAGGATGTTTAGAAATGTAAGTACTTCTGTAAATCCTCAACAAAGCAATCACAATTGTTTAGAGCAGTAATTGAGAGTATTCATGGCGTGTTCCAAAGAAAAAACACAAACAACTCACCAATCTGAAACTCCTGGCAAAACAAGAGCAAACTAGGAAAAAGTTAATAATGTCCTTTAACAAGTCATGATGGGTCAACCTAATTGTCCCTTGTGACAGGAGATAGATCCATACCATCAAAGCAACCCCATATCAACCACCAACATCTCTATGGCCTAGAATGCTCCCAGGTCTCATGCCTTATTTATTATCTCTGGCACCTAAGAGGCTTCCTGATCCACACCAGCAGCTCCTACTTAACTTCAGAAGAAAATATCTGGATTCTTTTCAGATACTCATGATCTACTTCATCCCAAAAAGGACTCTGAATCACCTTATTAAAAAAAAAAACTGAGAAGCACCAAAAGCTAACTACCAGAAAGGAGAAGCATGGGAGAAGAGAGCATACTTGAGAATTTTTGTTTTCTTGCAAATAAAAGAAATGAATTCAAGCTAGCTTAATCAATACAGGGTGAGGGGAGAGACAAATTTGCAAATATGATATACTTAAGATTTAATGAGTGGAATAACCCAAAATCAAGAAAGTAACTGGGTCTCAGGAAGAGGAGCAGCCACATAAAGGCTTTGTTCTGGATCCCAGGCAATACCAGCTATCCATCCTTCATTTCTCTTTCTTGTGCATCTTCTTCTCTCTCTTTGATCAGATTGGCTTTCCTGAGGCCCAGCACATGGTTAACTGCAGTCCCAAAGTCTACTTTAGGCTCAAGCCACCTGAAGAGACACTGACTCTCTCTTGATCTAACGCCAAACTCCCAGGAAGAACTGAGCTTTGCAGCATTTTGTCACAGATAGCTGTCATTTATCCAGTAATTACTAGTAGAGTCTGGGGGTGGGTATGTTAGTCAACTCAGGCTGCCTTAACCAAATACCATGGACTAGCCAAAAGATAGGAGTTTATTTCTTTCCCACAGTTCTGGAGACTAAATATTCAAGATAAAGATGCCAGCAAGATTACCATCTGATGAGGACTGTCTTGACTAGCAGTTGGCTACCTTCCTTCTGTGACCTTGCATGGTCTTTCCTGGCTGCACACAGGTGGAGAAAAAAGGGAAGCAAATTTTCTTGACCCCATCAAGAATTCAGCTAAACCAAATTTCCTCCTAATCACTTCATCTCCAGATACCGTCATGTCAGGGATGAGGATCTTGAATCATGAATGTTGAGAGACACAATTTCACCCACAATAGTAGGCAACATCATTCAAAAGAGCAGTTTGGGGTTCACCATCAGGGTGAGAAGGAGCAACTAACATGAGCTGGGCTTCAATTCCAAATGTATCCATTACAAAATGGAAGTAAAATAGCCAAACAAAGAGTGCATGGAAATAGGCCATAATGCCCCATCCACTTCTAAACAAACTGTCCTCTAGCAGCCAAAGTACAGCGAAAAACTGGAAATTTCAAAAGTGTCTCAAAATGACTAATACAAAAACAGCTAATTTCACAATCCAT